TATATATATATATATATATATATATATTGGATGTTTAAACATATAGGATTTTAATACATGGTTAATGTATGAAAAAATGTATGCATGAACTCATCGTTGTTTGTTCATGCTAAATCCCTACATTTTGAATACATGATCCGCTCGCGGAGCATGTATGAAAAACGGCACTGTACCAAAATGGGACAGGCGTTTCCGCCCCGCCTCTCGAGCCCCGCAGCCGGACGGGCGTTTTCGCCCCGCTTTTGGGGGCACCAGAGCCCTCGCGCATCGACCCGGCTCGGCAGATCGAGCACGGAGGCGGAGCTGGCAGCTCGGCTCCAAGACGCGCCCGCCCTTTCCCGCGGTCGGCGGCCGCCATGGGAACGGAAACTTGAGACTTTACGCCGGCGCCCCAACACTAGGCGGGACGCTGATTTCTAGGAGAAGGCGACTGTTTTCCCACTATTTCTGGTAACGGTCGTCACCCATGGGGGGGGGGAAAGTTAGCGGTAACGCTGGGGCGGAGTGGGGCACGTCCGGGCTGGGGTGCGCTGCGATCGCCACAGTACGCGCGCGAGCACCAAGCACCAACATGTGGAGGGGGGCGGATCCAGCCAAAAGTCCCCTCTCCCCCTCCCCTCTGTGGGGGGGAGGGGGAGAGGGGCTTGGCGGCTTGGCCACGAGAACGACCGCCATGCGCCCGAGGGTAACAAAAAACAGTCCCGAGGATTATGTTGTTCACATCCTACTTAAGGACCGCATCCCAGAGCTAATTTCGAGCACCCGGAAAGGTGCCGAAAGAGTGTCGAAAGAGTGTCGAAACAGTGTCGAGCGAGTGTCTCCCAGGGCCCGAAACACGTGAAACCCTAGAGATTCGATATGTTTTGTTCTGGTGCTCGAAACTCTTCCTGGTGATCAAGGCTAAAGTAGGTTGGAACATCATAACCCGAGGAGGAGGCCAGGAGGACGAGCCATCGGGTTAATGTTCTTAGAACATTAACCCGATGTGTTCAAACAAGACAGCCTCAACCAGAAATGTTCTAAGAACATTTCGTGGAAACCACACGAGGTTCTTAGAACATTGTTTGGTATGGCTACAGGCGCGCCAGGACGCTTCGCCACTGCTTGAAGGAGAGCGAGGCCCAGACCTCCGCGGACTCGTGCCTTGGACCAGGCGGGCCTGGACGGTGCTGGGCGCGGCATCCCGGCCTGGCAGGGAGCGCCGGCGCCCAGCGAGGTCCTGGCGCCCAGTGGCCTGGGCCCAGGGAGGCTCGGCGGCGCCCCAGGTCAAAGTTAGCCTGGGCCAGTCCCCCTACGGGGGGATTTTCGGACGAATCAAGGAAATGCTCACAAAATGTTCCAAAGATGCCCAAACATATTTTTAAGAAATGGTCCCAAAAGATGCTCAAAAGATGCCCCCCCCAACAAATGTCCAAAAGATGCCCCGAAATATTCAAAACTACGCACAAGATGTTCAAAATATGCCCCAAATGCTCACAAAATGTTCAGAAGATGCCCAAACCTACTCCAAAAATGGTCCCCGGACTTTTTTCTTCATATTATCTTGGAATGTGTTCCCCCTGTAGAGGGACAGGCCCGACGTAAGGTCAGAGGCCTCCCTCTCCCAGGGCTGGGGGCGGAAGGTGCACTCGCGCTGCTCCTCGGCGACGCGCTGCACGACCCCCTGGTGGATGCGCTGCTGGCGCCGCCTCTCCTGGCGAGGGGGCGGGGCTGCGGCCGAAGCCTTGCAGCGAGGAGCTCTTGCGTGAATGGGGCCTTCGGACACACAGATACATAGACACAAACAACCCGATTCCCCGCAATTGTCCATATATTTTTGTTTGATCTTCGTCTTCCCCCCCCCCACTTCCCATAGTTTCGCACATTTTCCCGGGAATCGACGATTCGTTGTGTCTGTGTGTTTTTTCCCCTCCTGATTGAGCAGAGGCGAGGCCTCTCCGTCCAGAGCCGCACCCCCAAACCCGCCGACACTGTCAGCGAGTGCGAGGGGCCCTCCCGTTGGAAGCTCTGCCCCTCTCTGCCGTGTGGCCACACTTGGCCCGCCTCGGGCGCGCGAGCCCAAAGGAGCAACGCAGTGTCGTTACCGAATCGATGGGGATCCCCTTCCTTTTGATCCCCCCGCCCTCGCGGGGGGGGCGGGGTCCCAGGGGGGAGCTCCCCTTGGCTTTCCATTCCCCGTTGGCCCCGAGCTGACGTGCATCGTGGTGCGGGATCCTATCTTCCAACAAGCCGTACTATGGTCCCAGGGGCCCGCGTTGGAGCCATGTTCGGGCTCTCCTGGGCAATCTTCGAGACCCTCGAGGCCGGCCCTGCAGGCGAGTCGTCCACATACCCGATCCGCCACCGTGCCCCCTGGCACGGCGAAGCGCGGGTAAAATTCTGTAATCTCCTAAAGGGTCACCCCCTCCCAGCAGTACCCGCCCGTATCCAGCCTCTCCGCCTCCCAAGGCTCGCTGGGGCAGCCCGACGCTTCGGTGGAACTCTCCAATAAGTCCACAGTGCCCAAGACGGCTTCCCGATCGTGATGGCTGCTCATCCTCGTGGTCGTGGTGGCCGTTCGTGGTCGTGTAGGCTGTTTCTGGCCGTGGTCGTGGTGGCTGTTCGCGGGCGTGTTGGGTGCAGCACTGCATCATGGGCACTGGTGTCGCCGCGATGGTCGTGGGGGTGGTCGTGACGGCCGTGACGCGGCAGCTCCCCCGCGCGGCACTCCCGGCTGTGCTGCCTGCAGGTGCCGCCAGGACGCCGGTGCAGACGTTCTGATAGTGCGGGGAGGCCGCGGCGCCCAGGGCGAGCAGGACGAAGGTGTGTTGCGGCATCCGGGTTTTCAGAGCTCGTGCTGCCTCTCCTCCACGTGGCACTCACAGGTGTGCTGCTTGCAGTTGTCGTCAGGACGCTGATGCAAATGTACTGGTGATCTGTGGGGGGGGGGGGGGGGCGTGGCGCACTCGGCGAACAAAACGAACGTGTGTGGCGGCATCCGGGCTTTGAAGCGGCTCAAGCTGCAGCTCCCGCACGTGGTGTTCCCAGTTGTGCTGTTTGCAAGTGCCGCCGGGACGCTGATGCACAAGTAGCCCTCAGGGAGCTCAGTAGTCTGGGGAGGCCGCGGCGTCCTCAGGGAACAAGACGAACGTGTCTGGCGCCCTCAGGGGAAATGACAGACGAGCGTTGGCATGTTCCGCCACTGCTCAGGACAGCTCTCCCAACAAAGTGCGGCCCTTTTTTGGCGCGGTGGCTGATGCTGGCGTCGATGCTGGTGAAAGCGTAGGCGTTGGCGGCGGCGTTGGCACTGCCGTCGACGCTGGCGGCGAGACTGCCAGAGGCGCTGGAGTTGGCGTCGGCGTCGATGCTTGCGTCGATGCCGCTGGCGCTGGTGTCGGCGCAGGCGCCAGAGTTAGACCCAGGGTCGATGCTGGCGCCAATCTTGGTACAGATGGTGGCGCTGGTGCCGGCGCACGCGCCGGAGTTGGTACCGAGGAGAGTCGGATGTCGGATGCTGGGGGTCGGGGTGCTGAGCTGGTGGGAACTGGAGGTCGATAAGTGGAGGTGGAAGTGGACACAACAAATGCTGGATGCTGGAGGTCGGAGTGTGGAGCTGGTGGAGGCAGCAGGCTGATAGGTGGAGGTGGAGGTGGAAAGTTGGATGCCGCATGCAGTGGATCGGGATGCTGCGCTGGTAGAGGCTGGCGGCTAGTAGGTGGAAATCGGAGCGGAAAGTCGGATGCTGAATGCTGGGGGTCGGAATGCCGTCGTGTTGCCCGCGGTGGTGCTGCCGAGGCCGTGCTGATCCTGGCGGTGCTGCTGGAGTCCGTCGTGCTGCTCCCGTTGGTGGTGCTGGAGTGCGTCGTGCAGCTCCCAGGTGTTACTGCTGGGTTCTGTCGAACTGCTGATCGCGGTGGTGGCGAAGTCCGTCGTGCTGAACACGATGACCCTGCTGGAGGCCCCCGCATTGCCCCGGGCGGTGATGCTGGAGGTAATTTCTGCTGCTCCCGGTGGTCTTGCTGGAACCCGTGTGGTTCACGATGGGGCAGCTGGAGTCCGTGCTGCCCGCGATGTTGCTGCTGGAGCCCGTCGTGACGCTCGCGGTGGTACTGCCGGGTTCCGTCCGCGATGCTGGGCCCGTCGCGCTGGTCGCGTTGGCGCTGCTGGAGGGCGTCGTGCTGCCTCGGGCGGCGCTGCTGGAATCCGTCGGTGCCGCTCCCGGCGGTGCTGTGGGAGGACGCGCTGCTCGCGCAAGGCTCGGTACCGAGCGCCTGCGTGATCTCCAGTACCGGGCGGCTCGCGCCAGCTGGCAAGACATTCTGGACGCCCGAAATGGGTACGGAAAGAATGGGTACAATGCCCAACAGCAGTTCTTGTTCATTTCGAACAGGACTCGCCGTCCGCGCCGCCGCGGCCTGTGTCCATTCGAGACAGAAGGCCGCCTGCTCAACAGCGGCCGCTGTTGGTTTGGGACAACAATTGTTGTTGGTCATTGTGCCCATTCTTTCCGTACCCATTTCGGGCGTCCAGAGGGACATGGTGTGACGGGCGGCTCGCCCCCGTCGGTGGGACGGGCGGCTCGCGCCGGCGTCGTGTTGCCCCTGGCGGTGTTGCTGGAGATCGTCCTGCTGCTCCCAGATGTGGCGCTGGAGTCGGCGCTGCTCCCAGCGGTGGTGCTGGGGCACGCGCTGCTCACGGCGGCGTTTCTGGAGTTCGGTCCGTCTCGCTGCAGTGCGCTTCGATGATGGAGCCCGTCGCGCTGATTAGCGTCACGCTGGTGCTCAAGCGGGCATGGTACTCCATGCGCACGAGAAAGGCGTCAACAAAGCGTGGTCCCTTTCCTGTGGCGGCGATGACGGAGGGGAAGAACAGGGGGATGAGTGCAGGTGGTGGTAGAAGTGATGCAGGTCTCGCTGGAAGCAGAGGCAGCGCGCGCCGTCGTCGCTATCGTTGCCGCGCGTCACATGCATGGAGCGGGAGGCGACGAACGGACCCCCGAGCGCCCAGCGACTCAACGGGACAAGCGCCTCCTCGACCTGCCCTCCTGAAACTCCTCCTCTAAACATCCTCGCAGAGGCGCCTGGACTCGTGGGGGAAAGAAAGTCAACGGCAGAAGAGTTAGCCCCGCTTCATCTGAGGTCGCTGCCCATCTACCACGCAATATCCGTAAAGCCGCTCTGTGCCATTTGGCCCCCTCTCGCACTGCTTGGGCGATTGCGTCCACCGCCACCTCGAAGACACACCACCCGTGATGTCGCGTCGTGTTGGTGACTGTGTGCACCCAGTATATGGCAAGGGCGAGGATGCCTAGCTCTTCTTTGGAGCGGATGCGCGGGATCACCAGCAAGAAGAACGATGCCAAACTATTGCCGATGTGTTCTTTGTCTGCTGCGCTCAAACTCCATGTCCTTTTTGCTGCTTCTCTGCTTCTCCTGCATCACCTTCCTCCCGCGAACCATCCCGCCAAATCCGTCACTGCTACCATCCTGTTTTAGGGTCGGCGGAACCTGCCAGAAGGCCGCCGCAATCCCCGCAAAGCAAGATTCGTTCAACATGTGCTCGAGGGTTCTCGAGCGGAGAGGAAGGATGAGGGGAGATGGGAGGAGGAGGAGGAGAATGAGGTGGGTTGAACATCTAGAGATCACGTCCCGCCGATCTTAAACTCCTCAGGGTGCCCCAGAATCTGGGCCCTGTTCCCGACAGCGCAAGATGATAGCAAGACGATCAAGGATGTTCGTGGTGCACCTGCTGGCAAGTGGGTTGTTAGAGGAACCCCAGACAAGGCATGCACATCACTCCTCCGAGGCCCGCGCGGGTCTCTCGGAACTGCGCCGGGCCCCCCCCCCTTCCCTGGCGCGCGGAGCGCGCCAGGGTCGGCGCAACCTGGCACCGCCGTGGATCCTAAGAAATCCGCGCGGACCTCCGCGAAATCACGCCTGTGCCGATGCAGTCGGGGCGTTGACCTAAGGAACCCTAAATAAGGAACGGGGCCCCTTTTTTCCATGAGTTCACCTTCGATTTCCTGTCGCAAACATAAGGAAAGCCTGAGGCAAGCTGTGGAAACACTTCAGGAACGCGGAGCCCCTTCCCCACGAAACGGGTTCCTTCCTCAGGGCCCCGACTGTACATGCTGCTGTTCGACCGCTGTGCAGGCTTGAGGACAGCACAACCCACCCCCACCCCCACCCAGGGCACCCACCTCCGACCTGGTGGTCCAGGGTGCCCTGGGTGGGGGTGGGGGTGTGTTGCAAGAGCCGCGGAGCCCAAAATCACACCCCCACCCCCACCCAGGGCACCCTGGACCACCAGGTCGGAGGTGGGTGCCCTGGGTGGGGGTGGGGGTGGGTTGTGCTGTCCTCAAGGCTGCATCTGCCCCCCCCCGAGTCTCCCAGTTGTCCCAGTCGTCCGCCATCCGCTGCACGCGCTGGGCCCTCTCCGAGATCGCCGGCCTGCCCGGCGCCTCCTCGCGCTCGCGCGCACGCCTCTCCTGCAGCTTCCTGCGCGGGCGGCGGCGGGGGGTCAGTGCTTCGCGCGCCCCGCCTAGCTCCTCCTCCTCCTCCTCCTCCTCCTCCTCTTCCTCCTCCTCCTCCTCCTCCTCCTCCTCCTCCTCCTCCTCCTCCTCCTCCTCCTCCTCCTCCTCCTCCCTCTCCTCCTCTTAACCGGAAGAGGCCCGCTCTCGACCCGCCGACCAAACAAACAAACAAAACTTTTGTGGGAGGCGGCGAGGAGCGGCAGGGGGGGCAGTGGCAGGAGGGGGGGGAGATGCTTCAGGCCTCGGCAGCCCCACTTTGGAGTGGCAGGCTGCTGGCAGCAAGGGGCCTGCCAGCACGAGGCGAGCTCCGACTCTCGTCCGCCTCAGCAAAGCGCGTTCTCACCCGCCTCGGCCACGTGCAAAAACAACCACCTCAGCCAAGTGAAACGCAGCCGCCTCAACCAAGTGCAACGTAGCCGCCTCAACCAAGTGTCTTTAGTCAGAGTCGCCTGAACCAGCTCGATCGACACTCTCCTGACCTCCCCCCTGGCTCAAGCACAAGGTTGTCCCTCACGAGACTACAGACCTCAGACTCGATCTGAGGCACCCTGTCATCCACAGGATCTGGTAGAAGCGCAGTCTTGGAAGACACAATTGTCGAAACAATCCATGCGTTTGTCTAGCTTGACGGTGACATCGAACTCCTGCTTCGAGTAGCGGGGATGCTTCCCTATACAAAGAACGGTCCAACCACAGCGAGCGGCACGAATCGGAGGAACCACACAATCAGTAGCTGAACCACGGACAGAGGCTCCTGACGAATGGCGTTTGCACTTCAAACAATCAAAGCAAACAGGCAGAACCGCCAAGTCAGTCAAAAGCCACCGCGCGGTGGCCAAGCGCCTGCTGCCTGGCAGCACGGAGTTGCCCATCGTTCGCACATCTGCCTGGCGGCGGGCGCTCTCCCGAGCGCCTACCTTTATCCACGTCTCCAGATGCCAGGCCACTTCTCCCAGCTGTGCGGCACATGGGGGGGGGGAGAACGCGGGAGCAAGAGGCACCGGCGGGGTGCGCGGCGCATCAAGAGATAACTCTGGCCAGGGCGGAAGCACATTGGCAGCGAGAGTGCGTTGCGCTCGGGCCGCATCAACCAGACTAGACACTTCTTTCATGTCACCTGGAGCCGAGGGGTACAACTATAGGCCATGTCCGGCCCCGATGTCCGCATCCGGATCTCCTCTTTCCAAGACAGCGTTCTCGCGCCGAGATGTCGGCACCCTCGAGGTGAAGGTGAGCATTAACCTGAACGACTTCTTTGGCAAAACTGCTATCAGATGTGTTGGCCTGCGCTCTCGTCCCTGAGTACTCCAGATTTCGTAATAAAAGGGAGGGGGTCTGGACCCTCCAAGACAAGCCATTTCAGACCTCCCCCGTGGGAGAACCCTCCAAAACATCGTCCCCAGACCCCCCAGGCCCTCCAAGATAGCCTGGAAGAGACCCCCCCCCGAAATGAGACCCCCCTCCCTTTATTACGAAATCTGGAGTAGGAACCGTTGCCAGAGCAAGGCTCAGGAGCTGGGAGCTGGCCCAGGCGCACCGCGCTGGCACCGTCTGATTGCAGCACCGAGGGGAAAGTCACACGACTGAGAGGCCAAGCATCTCGCTGAGAACTCAGTCACCTGTGGTGGTTGTGGCAGATGGGCCCACGCAAGTCCGCGCACCTCTCCAAGGCACTCACCTCTTATGATCACGAACTCATGAAGACGACCCGAGCAGCGCCAGACAATTCCTCCACAAGGCGCGCCAACAGGATCCATCAACGCAGAGGTGGTACCACATTTCTCCGCTGGTCGGGGTCCTGGGGCCTCTGGGGCTCATGAGTTCAGTACATCGTCAAGTATATGATGAAAGGAATTGGCCCCTGCCAGCGCTGGCCTGGGCAACCAGTCGGCGGCATGAGCGGAAGCTCCTCTGGCATAAAGGCAGACATCAACACTAGAAGCGTCAGTTGACAGGACAGCTAAATCTCTTGTCCCTAATATGAGCAGGGACGAACTGAACCCTCAAGTCGGCAACTTGTTCGCAATCGCAGTCCCACAGCCGGCGGGGAATGGAGTCGGGCACCTTGCGACATCGAGGACAAAGAGGACACACTTGGCATCCGCAGCTGATGGCTCTGCCAGCTGCCCAGGTCGCGCAGCTAGCGCACGCTCTGATCCAGCCACGCTGTGCTGGAGACAACCTTTTGAACCTGCAGGCAGCCTGAGGGATCCAGGCCTCGGGAACAAAATAGCGAACACTCATGCTACATCGTTCTGTCAACGCCTCCCCATCCCCACAATGTTCAAAGTTGGCGGTGGGTCTGATGAGTTGCACCTCGACCGCAGTCTCCCCCGCGCTTGCCAACTGTGAATTTGGGGGGGAAGGGGAAAATTCAGTAATTGTTTCCCTCTACCGTCTCGTGACACAGATGCTGACCCACCTCCCATTTATTATCCAAACCTCCCTCCAAACTGCCATGTACGCACCCCTACAGAGAGCGTCTAAGAACATTGGAGAGGTGAGGCCAACAGGGGAGGGAGCAGCCTCGATCACTGATCGTCGCCGTGCAGTTGCCCATTCTCCACCCGAGCCTGTGGAGGCAGAGGTGAAGGGCAGAGAGCGGGCTCTTCACAGTGGGCCACGTGGTCCTCGGCTGCGCAAAAACACCTGCTGCCTGACTACCTACCAGACCACCCCAACCCAACCCGAAGACCCGAATTTGACCCGAATTTCGGGTGGGGGGGGGTACGGATACCATGTGTTTTCTCAACGTTCCCCGACCCCCCCCCACTGGAAATCGAAGATAAATTTGGGCCTTCGGGTTGGGTTGGGGTGGTTTGGTGGGTGGTCACCCCCCGTCGCTCCCGCCATGGGAGCGGGGCACACCGCGGCCCTCTGCCTGGGGGGGGCCACCCGCCCACGTGCGGACGGCCGTGCGAGGGGGCGGCGCCCTGGCGAACGGGCGGACCGCGGCAACGGCTCGGCGCCTCGTCAGCAACGGCCGATGGTCCAACGACGTCCGCGCAACAAGCTCCTCCTCCTCCTCCTCCTTCTCATTGGATCTCTCCTCTTTATCAGCATCCTCCTCATCGTCCTCTTTCTCCTCCTCCGCCTCCTCATCTTCCTCCTCCTCCTCCTCCTCCTCATTATCCTCCTCATCCTCCTCCTCCTCCGCTTCCTCCTCCTCCTCCTCCTCCTCCTCCTCCTCCTCCTCCTCCTCCTCCGCCCCTCCCATGAAGGGGCCAGAAGCGAAGATCCTCGCAGCCGGGCGGCCAGCGTGCTCGGGCTGCCTCTTGACGCGCCGGGCCTCGCGGCACATCCACGCAGGCCTGGCCTTCGTGCTCCGGCCCCTTGGCCCGAAAAACGCGCGCCGAGCGCCCGGCGCAGAAGTCGACTCCAAGGCCCCACTGTGGAGCCCAGCGTCTCGCCTTCAATCTGGCCCAAGGGCTCTGGAGGTGTCCTCCGCGAGCGTCTTGCTAGACTCCACCGTGCACACCTCATCCAGAGACCGCTGCCACTCCATGACAGTAGTGGTGGCACGATGCAGCACAAACGAAATCGGAAACGGTTCGCTCCACGACTTGTTGATGGCTGCCCGCGCTCGAACACTCAGCGTCGTCGACGTACGCATCGAACTCGAGTTGCAGATGCCTGGGCAACGCGTCGACAAAGACTCTGATATGCGACGTCGCGAAGCTGCACCCAGGGATCGCGCCATCGATCACGAAAAAGGGCCCGTCGAGCAGACCCGCGTCCGAAATGAAACAACGATACGCGCGCTGCGAGATGCGAGCGAGGACCTGCGTGAAAATAATGTTTCGCGCACCTACCCTCCAAAGCATCGAGGTGGATCGCCTCGTAATATTTGAGCATCTCATTGACAACGGTAGCAATACGTTCTTTGCGGGCCGCGCCCGCTTCAGCTCGAGCGGACCGTCAGCAGACGGCGTCCGACGCGCCTCGAAAAGCCCTGGCAGCCCACTGCCGACGGTGGCGCCTAGCATGAGGCATGGTGCCGCCGACGCCTGCCCCAAACCCTACGCCAGGGGCCGAACGCCCCTGTCGGCCCGAAGTCGCCCGTGGTAATAGCGAGGAGCGCAAGTTGGCGGTGCGCACAAGGGGGTGGAGGGAGGGGGGAGGGCTTCTTAGAAGGAGGCTGCTTCTTAGAAGGCGCTGGCCTTACATCTATAGATCAGGCCCGCGCCTTCTAAGAAGCAGGGGTGCTTCTAGGAAGCCCTGCCCCCTCCCCCCTCCCCCCTCTGCGCGTGGCGGAGCAAGGAGCACGGCCGAGATCTGCCTCGGCAAGACTCCGACCGACTCCATCAGCTCAGACAGCATGCTGAGAGCCGCGCGGCCGTGGCCAGAGAGCAGCCGGGAGCGCCCGCAGTCGCAGTCGTCGCAAGCACAGCGGACCCAACCTTGCACCTCTGAGGCACAGCTCGAAGCTGGTCAGGAGCGGCTCTCGGCAAGGCCGGCAACGAAAAAACGTGTTCTGGCTTCCCATAGACCTGACCCCGCAACTCACTGAACTTGTTTCCCCCCTTAACGAGACAAGCCGTCCGCCGAGCCGCCCGCCGCCAGCGTCATGGTTGGCTTCCACGGCGTGGGAGATTTCGTTATGAGGCCAGCGCGCTTGGCGCCCTCGCCCAGGGCGGCCGTGGGCCAGGCCTTCCAATCAGGTTTCGATCGAGATCGATACTTCGAGTCCGCTCCCAGGAGTACAGTGCCGAGCGCGTCCAGCTGCGCCTCGGCGAAGGCAAGCGCGGCAAGGCACCACCGCCAGGGGCCGCGCCGCCGCGCGAAGCGCCGCGTGGACTGAAATCGCAGTTGAACTCAGCATTATAGGCAGCTATCGAAGCAAACCATGCCAAGAGAGAAGCATCGATGGCCTGCAACGGTCTGGAGACACCTCGGATGCGTTGCTGCAAGAGCACGCTGGATGGGCTGGATACATTGGTTCCCCATCCCCTGGTATCCGATCCC